GTGATTGTGGAGGCCCAAAGGAAGAACGTGGTACTCGTGGAATTTCATTTTTAATATAAAATTTCTGTATTTATCCCAGACCAGGACTAAGAAGAAATTATTTTATTTATTTATTTTTTTTTTTGAAACTTGAAATTTCATGAGCATTATGTTCTTCCTTAGAGTATTTATAGTCACGCGCTGAAGTTTCAAATAATTCAGTGCACCCAGGTTGGAGAAAAGTTTTATAAATGTTTTGATGTTTTCATGTATATGGATTAACCTTTTCATAAGACCTTAACTTATGTTAATAGTGGGTGATAATTGTATGTGTTTACATGGGGTATTATATGAGCAGTATATGAGTATTTCATTTCAAGATATTCGAAATGTTCGTCGGAAATCTCAATGGCATATTTAGTTTCAATAACTTATAAACATATATAGAAATTATATTTTTTAACTTATGAACATAATAAAAATACATTTTTCACTNATGTCATTGAGATTTTCAAGAAATATGTCAAATATCTTCGAATGAAATCTACAAGAAATCTTAAAAAATCTGTCGTTTCAGATATTGAGATAAATATTTGTTTGCAATATTTACTGCATATCTCAAGCGACAGGTTTTTCAAGATTTCATTTGAAGATATCTGAAATATTTGTTGAAAATCTAAATGACATATTTAGTTATAATTTATTAATATATATATAGAAATTATATTATTTAATTTATGAACATATAATAAAAAAACATTTCTTACTATACGATTATTATCAAACATTTCAATTGGTATAAAAAACGCGAGAAATTTTTGCAATATTTTCGTTCCGTTATTTCATTGTGGGAGCAAAACGTGTGATTTTGGTTTAAAATATTTTTAAATCCTTTATAATATATTCGGCAGATAATATTTAAAAAATACTTACATCAAAATGAAACGAAATGTTTTATATATCTATAAGAGAAGCATTACGAAAACACGTGGAGCTAATATTAAAAAGATAATATTCTAAAGTAAATGTTTTGCAAATATTTCATATGTCTGGTAAATATTTAAAAAATGTACGATATTCCTTAAATATGTAGAAAATATAAGATAAATATTTTGTGCCACTAGGGAAGGCGCTCCTAGTATCTAAAATTAAAATTATAATTATATGAGCTGAACTTATCTCAAGGCAACACTAAACCGACAATTTCTCATAGTATCGCAATACTATACCCAATTTGCTGACAATTCCAGTCAATTTTACGGCACTTTTTGTCTTTCTGACCAATGTCGCCGAGAATGATGTAACTTGTCCTTTGAATTACACCGTCCTTGTTAGAATTACTGGCCGACCTTAGATACTTCTTTTTGCCAGGTGAAATCGATTGATCTCTGAAAACCCGAGTAAATGAAATTTAGATACATTGCAAAGATTAAGGTGAAGTGAAACCCCCTTCAAATCAGTCAATTCGAATACAACACTTTTTTTAAGGATATTAGACCAAACTGTCCGAAAGTTTAACACATCACTCCTATAAAAAAATGAGTTGAAAATTTATGGCAAATTTAACAGCAGTTATAACGTCATTCCATGACATTAATTTGCGGACATTGTATGAAGTTAGTTAATGCTACAAAACAAATCTTTAGAAATTATTCTATGCTACTAGGGATGTTTATAAATTAAAAATGTAATGTTTATATATTTTTATAAATTCTATGCTACTAGGGTTGTCATTTTTGCCCCTGAACATACGTGAAATAATACTTTTATAGCACATAGCAATGTTTTAAGGGGTTGTTACAGTGTTGGTGGACCTTATTTGTGCAATTTTCGTCTATGGAAATAAAAGTACATTTAAAATGCATACTCAGCGTAAATCGAGGGTGCAGTTTAAATTAAAATCGATGGTTTTTGATGAGCTTTTACGTGGATATGGATTTTTAATTAGCTCTTAAAATAAATATATTAGCGCCCCGTGCCACGTGTAATTTATTTAAATCTCCCTTACATAACGGCGCGGAGTCATGGCGGTAAAAATGACGGTAAAACTGGCATTTAACGATGAAAAAATCCGCGAGTCCTTGAGTTAAAAACGAGCCATGCCGTGTTTAAACTGAATGTGTAATTCAACAAATCCGAACTTAAGTGCATTCTTGACCTTCGATTTTTTAGTAGTATATTTTTACTCCTTGTCTGTTGACGGAAACTAGTGGTATTTCGAACTTATGTTACACAGTTTTACTATCACGTTATCTATTCGGGGTTGAAAGAAACAGAAGGGTGACTACAGTACTGCTATCAGTTAAACTTTAGTATCAGCAACCCAGGTAACCCATGAAATTGAATATACGTAAATTAATCGTCTAAATTAGGTCTATAGGTATAGCAAATGTATATCGTCTATCATCCGCCTAAAAAAATATCTAAAGTATACATATAAATATCTATGCCTATTGTAGGTGAAAATTATATATCCACTATTGATCTACAAATATCTACTTATTTCGTGCCACATACAAAATATAATAGCTCTAGTTTTGAGAAAAGATTTATGAACGATTAATTCATCACATGCCCTTAAAAAGATATTGTAGTGTTAAAATATTTTCTTGCGAGTTTCATTTAAACACGATATACTAATATTATAACATATTGACAAATAAAACATGTGATGTAAATTTAATATNGAAGATTTGTTGACTCATGAGTTAATCATGCGAAATTATCAACAAAAAATTACACGATAATTATAGTTATTAATAAAGATTATATTCGTAATTTTCTTCAACACTTAAAGAGCTCTCTTCATGCGCAGAAATATCTTGACTCATGAGTCAGTCATGTGACATGATCAACAAACACTTTGCACAATAATTTCTATCATTAAAAACAAATATACATAATTTTCTTCATCTCTTACGGAGCTTTCTTCATGAAGAGATTTCTTCACTCATGAGTCAATCATGCGAAATTATCAACAAAAAATTGCGCGATAATTATAGCTATAAATAAAAATAACATACGTCATTTCCTTCAACACTTAAGGAACTCTCTTCATCCACTGAGATTTCTTGATTCACGACTCAGTCATGCGACATTATCAACAAAAATTTGCGCGATAATTATCGTTATTAATAAACAATATATACGTAATTTTCTTCAAATCTGAAGGAGTTCTCTTCATACACAGAGATATCTAGACTCACGACTCAATCATGCAACATTATCAACAAAAACTCAAATTGTGCAACACTATCAACAAAAACTCAAACTGTGCAACATTATCCACAAATACTCAACTGTGTAACATTATCAATCAAACTCAACCGTGCAACATTATCAACAAAAACACCACCGTGCGACATTATCCAACAAAAACTCCATCGTGCAAAATTATCAACAAAAACTCCATCGTGCAAAATTATCAACAAAAACTCAAATTGTGCAACACTATCAACAAAAACTCAAATTGTGCTACATTATCAACAAAAACTCAAATTGTGCTACATCATCAACAAATACTCAAATTGTGCAACATTATCAACCAAACTCAATCGTGCAACATTATCAACAAAAACACCACCGTGCGACATTATCAACAAAAACTCCATCGTGCAAACTTACCAACAAAAACTCCATCGTACAAAATTATCAACAATAACTCCATCGTGCAACATTATCAACAAAAACTCAACCATTAAAAAAAGATATACGTTATTTTCTTCATCTCTTCAGGACCTCTCTTCCTTCGAGACTCGAGGATCTCTTGAAAGTGCAACATAATAGAAAATAATTTGAGAAAAAATACAAGATGAGCTTACCAGGGGGTACAGCATCGCTACATTTTAGCGCAAGCCCGATCCGCTTGCTTCTTCACTTCTTCCTCTATTCCTCTTCGCCTTCTTCCTCCAGGAAGGTCGAAGGACTCGCGCGAAAAAACAAACGCCCAAACTCGCGCCACTCTCGCGGGATCTTTCTCTCTGTACTGAGACGACGGATCTTCCAGTTTCCCGAAGTTCTAGAGCAAAGATCATCGCTTATTATCGCCTGTCTGATATTGGAATCATTAATGGTCTCACCAACATCACCGTCGTTTGTGTTAACGGGATGAGGTCCCTGTGTTCGTCGAACTTCTTCATCCCTAACGCCGAGGCGGAGTAAAGCGGGGTCAAATGTGCGCCGATAACGAATCACGTTAAAACACGGGTAGTTTTATTTGCCACGTGACCGATCTGCATTGACGTACAATAAATAACGCGGCAGCCATACAATGAAGATTCCTAGGGGAGGGGAGGGGATATACCGTATAGTCGGATACATTGTACCACGACGATATTTAAAGTAGAGTGAAACCCTTATCAAATTAGTCGATTAGGATAAGAAATTTTTTTTTAAGGATATTGGATCGAACTGTCTGAAATTTTGACATGTGAAATTTTGACGTGTGAAATTTTGACGTGTGAAATTTTGACATGTGAAATTTTTATATGTGAAATTTTGACATGTGAAATTTTGACATGACAAATTATAAANTATACCACCTACATTCATTGTTTACAACCGATGTGTAAATGTTTATTGGCAAAAAGCAAGAAACACGTATTTCTTCATTTTATGTGAGCAATCACATCGCGTGAGTGGGACTTAAGTAGGAGTGCTTGTTTATTAGATATTACAAAAAAATGTCGCTTGAAGGGTAGTTCACCCCCTTGGGGGGGTGTAGCATTGCTGAACAATATTGTGTTTTCACCGTCCTTATACAGAATACGTTTATACCAAGTTTCGTCGAAATCCCTCCATTGCTTCTACGAAAATTGTTATAAAAATCGAATTTTCGCCAAACTTTGGGGGGTTGTTTCACCCCTTAAATGTGGACCATTGCAGATATAAAAAAACACGTGTCTCTTAGATTTTTGTGTTCTTCAACATACATGAAAATCAATAAGATCGGGGGCGGACACTTGGGAATGTTTTCTTGTGAGCACACTCCACCGATCCCAACCAATCCGAGCGCGCTGCGACGTATAGTCTCTTCACAATTAAATCACTGACATTACTTTTCGGACAAACCCTGTAACTAGCTGATTATCCGTGCTTTTACTCCCCCATAAAAAAGATAAAACAGTACGGCCAATGTATTCCGTTGCAGGCGAAGATGATCAGCGATGGTGCCTACGCATCACAATGGTACGGATTTGAAAATAGAGCAAAGAGGCTTCTGATGATCATGATGATTCGTTCTCAAAAGCCATATTACCTCACAGCCTACGGCTTCTTCGCCATCACTCTGAACCAGATCACCACGGTGGGTAAAATTAAGAAAAATAACGCTACCACTAAAAACAGAGGTGGACAGCGAATAAGTGTTTCAGAAAAGCGAACAGCCATTTTGTACAACGGTGTTCTCATAAAAGTATAATCGTTCGTCGGAAGAACGTCTGCTAATTAATTTCAGTTTTCAGATTTTCAATACATCATTGTCGTACTTTATGATGTTGAAAACAATGGCGTGAAACGATGTGGCTTTGAGAATGTGATGTAAATTGGCACGTCACATTATTCCTAGATCGATGAACTTGGTTCACTGGAATATCTATCGTTTACATGAACGATGGGAATCTTCAAATAAAGTATTCTTTACTTCACGCATCTATTCTTGCGCTTCTTGTTAAATGTTCCCGTAAACTGTTAATTATATCTTTTTGTCCCTGCATTTACTTTTGTATTATGGAAATGATATATAGAGACATTACGAACATGGATTAATATGTGTATTTTAGCTCCGGAATCATAACCCCGGCACCAATTTTCATGTTTTATGTTGGTGGGTGAACCAATAATTGAATACAATACAGACACAGAAATAGTGCTGCATTTACTCAAGTTAAGGTGAAGTGAAACACCCTTCAAATCAGTCGATTCGAATACAACACTTTTTTTTAAGGGTATTAGACCAAACTGTCCGAAACTTTGACATATCACTCCTGATCAACTAACAAGGAAGGTACCTGAGGTGTCCCCCTCCGATTTTGTTCATTTTTAAATATGTTATAGAGGACTAAAATCTAAGGGACCCGTGTTTTTTTTTATCGGCGGATAAACACTTTTAGGGGGTGAAATCAGGCTTCAAGGTTGGCCGTGCAAGGGGGTGAGTTGTCTGTTTCATATAGAAGCACTCGACCGATTTTCATGAAACAACCGTCAAAATGTAGGGAATGAAGAATTATGAAACATGCAATTGGAATTTTTAGGAAAAATTCATTTTTAAGGGGTGAGCCACCCTTTTGAATACTTCTTTTACCCCTTACGCGAGCAGTAATTGCTCTATCCAAATGAAACTTGGTTAATTTATAAACCAGAACACTACAAAAAAAGTTTCAATTGGATAGAATAATTACTGCTCGCTTAAGGGGTAAAAGAAGTATTCAAAGGGGTGGCTCACCCCTTAAAAATGAATTTTTTCGAAAAATTCCAAATGCATGTTTCATAATTCTTCATTCCCTACATTTTTACGGTTATTTCATGAAAATCGGTCGAGTGCTTTTATATGAAACAGCCAACTCACCCCCTTGCACGACCAACTTTGAAGCCTGATTTTACCCTCTAAAAGTGTTTATCCGCCGATAAAAAAAAACACGGGTCCCTTAGATTTCAGTCCTCTATAACATATTTAAAAATGAACAAAATCGGAGGGGGACACCTCAGGTACCTTCCTTGTAAGAATTGTCCTGACACATTCAAAATTTGGACTTTTGAAAAAAATTGTTTAACTCAGCCCAGACGAGAACCAAAATGGCGTCGAGCTCTAATATTTCGACACAATATACAATTATCGAAAGCTCTGATGTGAGAAACTAAAGGGTCAGGACAATTTTACGACAATTTAGAACACTCTGGTAATCGATAAACTCGCATTTGAACGGGATAAAGGCAAAAAAAAGTGTTGTATGCGCTTCTATGCCAAAATGATGGTAATACGAGGTCTCAGAGTGAAAATTTAATTGACCTGGAAATCACAGATGGCGCAGCGTGTCCCTCTGCAGTCAATTAGGGCCCCATCAAGCACGAATCCATAGGATTTCTGGAGTTTTACTTCGATTTCTTTATAATTATTGTACGAAAACGACAGGTGGAGTATGCCATTTGGTACAATATCCAATATAATTCGACCCAGCTGTCAATATAAAAACGAACGTCGGCAACGTAGGCATTTAGAAAGATCTTCTTTATCGACGTTGATCAAGTTCCTCGACGTGTTTCACTTCACCTTAATCAGCGATCAATGTCCTAGGTCGCCCAAGTCGATTCGAAATAATTGGCAAATCAATCCGTTTTCTTTCCGCGTTTTCTATCTGACAAAAAAAATGGTCGTCATGATTAGCAAATTCTTTGGAAGGTAGATATAACGTCTAGAACGTTGGCAGACAATGAACGTATCTCGGAAGAAGATTAGTCCAGTAAAGCTGGTGGGACGTCCAAAGTTCTGTCATTTCATCATTCATTGGCCTTTTTACACAGTGATGCAATGATTCTTCAAGACTACGACCATTGACTAGTCTACAATAGCGAACAATTACGCAGGAGGGATTATTTATCGCGAGTACGATATGTTATTATCAAATGTCATTGTCTCTGTCGTTTATCGTTCAGTTACGTTTTTGCGTAGTGACTAGTCTCTACTAGCGAAAAATTACGCAGGAGGAATTATTTGTGGCGACATATCGTACGAGTACGATGTGTCATTACTAAATGTCAACGTTTCTTCATCATTCATTGACGTTCTTACATAGTGACTAGTCTCTATTACCGCAAAATTACGCAGGAGGAATTATTTATCTCGACATACAGTTCGAAAACGATATGCCGTAATCAAATGTCATCGTTTCTGTCATTTTGTCATTCACTGACGTTCTTACATAGTGACTAGTCCCTACTAGAGAAAAATTACGCAGGAGGAATTATTTGTGACGACATACAGTTCGAAAACGATATGCCATAATCAAGTGTCATCATTTCTGTCATTTTATCATTCATTGACGTTTTTAAGTAGTGACTAGTCTCTACTAGAGAAAAATTACGCCGGAGGAATTATTTGTGGCGGCATATCATACGAGGACGGTATGCCATAATCAAATGTCATCGTTTCTGTCATTTTGTCATTCACTGACGTTCTTACATAGTGCTTAGTTTCTACTAGAAAAAAATTACGCAGGAGGAATTATTTACGGCGACATATCGTACGAGTACAATATGTCATTATCAAATGTCATTGTCTCTGTCGTTTATCGTTCAGTGACGTTTTTGCGTAGTGACTAGTCTCTACTAGCGCAAAATTACGCAGGAGGGATTATTTATCTCGACATACAGTTCGAAAACGATATGCCGTAATCAAATGTCATCATTTCTGTCATTTTATTATTCATTGACGTTCGTACATTGTGACTAGTCTCTATTAGCGCAAAATTACGCAGGAGGAATTATTTATCTCGACATATAGTTCGAAAACGATATGCGTTTATCAAATGTCAATGTTTCTGTCATTTTATCATTCACTGACGTTCTTACATAGTGACTAGTCTCTACTAGAGAAAAATTACGCAGGAGGAATTATTTGTGACGACATACAGTTCGAAAACGATATGCCATAATCAAGTGTCATCATTTCTGTCATTTTATCATTCATTGACGTTTTTAAGTAGTGACTAGTCTCTACTAGAGAAAAATTACGCAGGAGGAATTATTTGTGGCGACATATATTACGAGTACAATATGTCATTATCAAATGTCATTGTCTCTGTCGTTTATCATTCAGTGACGTTTTTGCATAGTGACTAGTCTCTACTAGGGAAAAATTACGTAGGAGGAAGTATTTGTCGCGACATATTGTAGGAGTACGATGTGTCATTACTAAATGTCAACGTTTCTGTCATTTCATCATTCATTGACGTTCTTACATAGTGACTAGTCTCTACTAGAGAAAAATTACGCAGGAGGAATTACTTGTCGCGGCATATCGTCCGAGTACTTCCTCGCTAATGACGCTCGCATGAAAGAATTGCGAAGAACGATTGCACAATCGGCTGTCAATTGAATAGGCGTGACATAAAAAAATACAATAAATATTACTCTGGCCACGCGACTTGCGATATATCGAGGTACAATCTTTCTTCACGTTTCAATCTGTGCGGTCGAAGAAAAAAAATCATTTGCAATTGTATTGCATAATCCCATTGCGGATCTCGTTAGAATTAAATCACATCTAGCATGTGCTTTAAGAGTATTAAAAGTAATACTGAGATTCCAAGTTACTTATTTTTATGTATATATATTTTTTAATGTATTGTTAAAAGTTTGTTAAAATAAAATCGCTTCCAGCATGTGCATTAAGAGCATTGAAATTAATATTGAGGCTCCAAGTTACATATTTTTATGTATATATATTTTTAATATGTTGTTAAGGGGATGTGAAAGTGGCATCCGAGGATTCAATCATTTATGAAACTTTTCTCCAAATTTGGTGTACCTAATCGTTTCAAACTGTAGAACGTAAATATTAAGACTGTAAGGAAGGTCATAACGCTCATGAAATTTCATTTCTCGAACAAAATTTAAAAAATGCATATACACAAATTTGAAAAAAAAAAATGTATGGATGTTAAGACCTTTCTTATAACCTACATGTTCTTTCTCTGAAGTTTGAAACGTTTCGATGCACCCAATTCGTAGAAAAGTTTCATTAATGAGATCTTATCCCTTTAAGGCGATTTAAAAGTGGCGTCAAAGACGTCTCGTTTATGAAACTTTCCTCCCAAGTTGGTATACTGAATCGTTTCAAACTATACAATATGAATATTAAGGCTGTAAGGAAGGTCTTAAAACCCTTGGAAATTCATTTTTATTAAAAATCTAAAAAGTAAATATAAATAAAGTTAAATAAAATTAACATTTTATGAATGAAGGGACTTTCCTTGTAGTCTCCATATCCACTCTGTAAAGATCGAAACGATTTGGTACATTTAGTTTTCAGAATTTCAATTCATACGAAATTTTCAGGAACGCCAGTTTCATATCACCTTAACACTAGGTTTACGGGACCCGTCAATTTGACGGAATTGAAACTTCGAAAAGAAATACCGAAAAAACCATAGCATTAATTTTAACCATTTTAGTATCGTAAATTAATCATTTCATCCAAAGAATTTGTACACACAATTATTTTTTCCTAAGCCTTCTAATTATTAAAATCTGTATGTAGTATACCTATCTCTACGAAACCCGTCAAATTGACGGACTAGCGAATTTCATAAACAATCCATATATATTTGCTTCGTTGCAGTGAGTGTAAGGCGAAGATGAGAGTGAAAGTTTGCATTGAAAGTGGAGAAATAGAAGGATCTTCGGATAGTGAAGAGGAAAACTTCTTGAAAGGGTGTCGTAGCAAGAAAAGGATGCGCATTCTTTCTAGTTCTGACTCCGAGGATGAGAGGACGAGCATTCCAATCATTTCCGTGATAATTTTTAAAAAAGCACTTTTTACTTATTAATCATTTATTTAAACACAAAGCCTAGTGTTGTCTAATTCAGACTTAATTTGAATAAATTGATTTTTTGAAGAAAATGCGTGTTTTCGTTTACCCGTCAATTTGACGGG